CACCTTCCCAGCCCAGGCTTGAGTTTTAAGATGTACACTTTATTATTATTCAGGAATGAAGGGCAGACAGATCAAGAGATGATCACCATGCTCAAGGAGAGTAACACCACACATCAGAGGGCCAGATGAGAAAGTATGAGAGCCAGGCAGGATGCAGAGGCCTAGGGAAGAGCCTTGTTCATGTGTTTCATCTGGAAGAATGGACTGGGTGGGATATGCAGGTGTAGTGGTGCCTAGTTTGAATAATCCCCAGGCCTCTCCCTGCCTCATCTGACTTCTGTCAGTCCCCTTGGACCTTTGAGTATGCTGCATCTTGCTGCACTAACGGGGCCTGGAGGCATTTCTAGCTAGGACCCCTGAGTATACCAGGAGGAGTTTATACTCCCCTGTCTTTCATGCAATGCATGGACGAAGGAGGAACTTCCTCATAGTGTCCTGTATGGTTCTCTCAGACTCTTCCCACTTTCCGAGGAGGCACTTCCTCCCTGAGCCGAGCACCTATATTACCAGGGAGGGGAGGCTCTGCATCTCCTTGGCTTTTTAAATTTGGTCCCCACAGCCAGCTCCTAAGGCTTTGGGATAGATGGTCTCCAGCCCTTCCTCCAAGGGGAGCAGGGTTTGTGAAGCTGGCTGGCTGGCAACTAAAAGAGACTGGCTTCAGAAGGTACACTTTACGGCCAAAAAGGGGCTGGAGGCCTACCTCAGCAGTAGGTGACAGCCTAGCAATTATGAGGCCCTGAATTCAACCCTTCCCCCCCCCCCAGTATTGTGAAATAAATAAAACAATAGTAAAAGTAAAAACATGCTTCCTGGTACGAAGCAAGATGACCTGGCCATGGCTGTCGGATGCCATGTAAGTACACAGATGTTCTGCCCTAAGCCTGCTCATCTGCCTGCCTCCAAACAGAAACTCCCCCCTGGCTCCCTTATATTTCATTGGCATGCCATGGAGAGTCTCTGCAGAGGCCTTTCTTCTGCCTGCTCCACTTCCTTGTGCGTCGCCCCAGCAGGCACTCACCGCCACGTGCGTACCGGTTCACCACAGTCCCCAGGTGGCCAGTGCTTTCGCTGTTTTGTAATCCAGTGAGTATGAATACAGCAATTTAGCTTGTGCCCAGGATTACACAGTATGCACACCAGTCATTTCAGTTCCCCACAGACAAATGAGCTGTAACTTCATTTTTCCATTTCATGAATAAGAGTATGTCGTCTGGGTATTTTTGTTGCTTGTTTTTGGGGGTTGATGGGAGAGTGAATGTCCTTGCTGGCTTTGGACTCCTGGGCACACAACATCTCCCCCAGTAGCCCCTTGATATGATGAAATTGGGAAATTTACAAAATGGAAGGAAATCAGCAAGGTGGATAAAGGTGATGGGATGGTTACCCCCTATGCATGCCCAGGCTCTTTGTCAGGAAGACAGTTTTACCTCTTTTATCCTTTGTGTCAACTTCCTTGGCGCTCAGGGTGAGCAGAGTCAAAGGAACATACACCTGTAGCCAGGTGCTGGTGGCTCATGCCTATAATCCTAGCTACTCAGGAGGCTGAGATCTAAGAATTGAGGTTCAAACCCAGCCTTGGCAGACAAATCTGAGAGACTCATCACCAGTTAACCAGCTAAAAGTTGGAAGTAAAGGCATGGCTCAAATGGTAGAACACCAGCCTGGAATGAAAAAGCCAAGGGAGAGCATGAGGCCTTTAGTTCAAGCCCCACTGCTGGCATAATCAACCCATTTATTGTTTAAAACCAACAGCCACAGATAATTTCCATCTAATAAATAATAATCTACCACTGTGCATTTCAGTCGAAATGTAACTTCAGAGCAAAAGGACGAAAATAAAGAAGCGAAACCCCGCTCACTGCGTTTCACCTGGAGCATGAAAACCACTAGTTCCATGGACCCCGGTGATATGATGCGGGAGATCCGCAAAGTGCTGGATGCCAACAACTGCGACTACGAGCAGAGGGAGCGCTTCCTGCTCTTCTGCGTCCACGGCGATGGGCACGCCGAGAACCTGGTGCAGTGGGAAATGGAAGTCTGTAAGCTGCCAAGACTGTCTCTGAACGGGGTCCGGTTTAAACGGATATCAGGGACATCCATAGCTTTCAAAAATATTGCTTCCAAAATTGCCAATGAGCTAAAGCTGTAACCCAGTAATTATGGTGTAAATTAAGTAGCAATTTAAAGTGTTTTCCTGAACACGATGGAAATGTATAGAGTAATATTTAGGCAATAACGTCTGCATCTTCTAAATCATGACATTCACGTCTAAGGGCGAGAGCATGCCTGGGAGCGAAGGCTGGCCTTTTCTACGAATGCACTACATTAAAGTCGTGTGACCCTGGCCTCCGTCTTGTTTCCATTGCCCTGGGAGTCAGCGCGTGGACCGCCTGCCTGTGCCTCCTGTGTGTGGTGTGAGTTGATGGTGTGTGCAGAGCAGGTGTGCGGGAACATCTCTTGAGGCTGGCACTAGTACCTCTGTGGGAGATCATTTGGTGCTAAAACATTACGATTGCCAAGGAGGAAAATACTGAATTACTGCTAAGAATTAACCTTAAGACTAGTCAATAATTAATACAGGTTTACAGTTCATGCCTGTGGTTTTTGTGTTTGTTGTTTTGTGTTTTTTTAGTGGAAAAGGTTTAAATTTATAGTTGTGAAACATTGCTTGTGTGTGTTTTTCTAAGTAGATTCACAAGATAATTAAAAATTCACTTTTTCTCAGTAAAATCTTGCATTGTCTCCTCATGCTATATTTAAGATTTAGACTAAGTACATTCCCCGCCTCCATCAAGTTGAGCAGAAGCGGAGGGGTGCATGGAGTCAGCGCTGGTCCTCTGTGAATCTAGCAGTTCGAGCCACTAACATCTTTTCTTTCAAGCCCTCCTGGTACCTTGAGTTAGCGAAACCCCGCGGGTGACTGAAATGCATAGGTGGGGGAAGTACCTGGCCTTGGTAGCTCTGTGATCTCCTCTTTCTGTTGAGATTCACATTTGAATCAGACCTACACATTCTTTCCGGCAACTACATGGTTTGGCTAGGGAGGTTGGGGGAGGGGGGAGGAATTGAACTTAACACTCAGGACATCATCGCTTCACGGTGTGTGCCTTGGGGTCTGCTGATGCCCCGTGTAGGAGGCTGGGCAGCCCTCCCTCCATCGCAGGTGTTGGCCAAGGCACCTTCATGTAAGACACATGAACAAGGAAAGTGTAGGTCCCTGGACTTGCATCGCAGGTAGTTGGAAAACTAAATGTGAAGAATTAACCTGGTTCAGAACATGCTGAGAGGGGCTGGGGAGGTGGCTCAGTGGTAGAGTGCTTGCCTTGTATGCATGAAGCCCTGGGTTCGATTCCTCAGCACCACATACACAGAAAAGGCCAGAAGTGGTACAGTGGCTCAAGTGGTAGAGTACTAGCCTTGAGCACAGAGAGTGCCCAGGCCCTGAGCTCTAGCATCAGCAAAAAAAAAAAAAGAGAAAAAAAGATCGCAGTTACCAGGCATGGTGACCATATTGATATTTTTGCTGCTTAGGAGACAGAAGCAGGAGGATCACAAGTTACAGCCACATTGGACCACTGTCACAAAGGAAGAGGTTATTCAGGCTGTAGCTCACTGGTAGGACACTTGTTCTACGTTTGATCCCCAGCACTTTGAAAATAAATTTGCCAGGATCACATCTGTAATCCTATGTACTCAGGAGTCTGAGTATCAAGGTTCAAAGCCTGCCCCTGGCAGGACTATCATCTCCGACTAACTACTAAAAAGGCCAGAAATGGGCTGGGAAGGTGGCTCAGTGGTAGAGTGCTTGCCTTGCATGCATGAGGCCCTGGGTTCGATTCCTCAGCACCATATAAGC